AATTTTGGGGCATCTTATATTTTTCGTCGAAAATCCCCCTGCAGGGGGACACGCCCGACATAACGTGGCGGGATGCAAATGGGGGGATAAGTCCAGGGGGGGGAGAGACGCGCAACCGAGGTACAAGTTGTACCTACGCCCCACGGAGAAGGTACAACTTGTACCGACGCCACGCAAACAAGGTACAAATGGTACTGTTGACCACGTCCGCGACGTGTGCGAGGATGTGAACGGGGGGGAGAAGGTACCATTTGTACTTGCATCCCGCAGAGAAGGTACAAATTGCACCCCAACAAATTTGACCTTTTTGGGGTATATTTTTTGGGGCATCTTATATGTTTCGTCGAGCATCCCCCTGTATGGGGGGCACGCCCGACATAATAGCGCTACCTCGCCTCGGGCCTCGGCCGGAGCCGGCGCGCCCAAGACCCTCCGGGCGCGCGCGGCTCCCGGGCACTGCTGGCGGGCGCGCGCCCGCTCCGGGCGCGCGCCGCGCTCTCCCCGGCGCGGAAACTCGCGGCAGAGCTCCGCGCCGCGCCCGCCAGCGGTGAGGAAGCGTCCCTGGTGGTCCTTTTTTGAAGGGGCCCTGGGGCACACGAGCAAATACACACAAATAACATGGATGCCCCATATCTTCCCCTATCTTCTGGGTTTCCGTCTCCTCCCGCCCACTTCCCACATTTTCGCATATTTTCGGGGGAATCGGCGATTCATTGTGTCTGTGTGTTTCTTTCCCTCCTGACTTTCCTGGGATGCTTGGCAGCCTGCGGCGCTGCTTCCCTGGCCTCCTCGTCTCGGGCCGGGCGGAAGGGGGGGGGATAGCAATCGGGGCGGGGTTGAGAATCGGCTCACGTCGCTGATTCTCCCGGCGCCTCCCTGCGCCGGAGGCGGCCATGCATCGAGGGATGGGCTCGGCGGCGGGGCCGAGACCAGCTGCATGCAGCAGATTTCGTAGCCCACCCTTCCCCTTTCCCTCCATTTCGTTCGGCCCGAGGAGGAGGAGGAGGAGGAGGAGGAGGAAGGAGGAGTGAGGAAGGAGGAGGAGGAGGAGAGGAGGAGGAGAGGAGGAGTAGGAGGAGAGGAGGAGGAGGAGAGAGGAGGAGGAGGAGGAGGAGGAGGAGGAGGAGGCGGAGGGAGGAGGAGGCGGAGGTTCGTTCGGCCCGATTGTCCCGCTGCTTTGCCGCCTTCGTCTTCTTGGCCGCCGGAGGCTCTGCGGAGCGCGTGCTGGGCCCGTGCCCTGCCTGCGGGACGTGAAAACGACCACAGCCACTGCTTCTCCTTTGTTGCCGCCCTCCAGCCACCAGAAACAAAGCAGTGGCTGTGGTCATTCTCGCTAATCAAGCAGCTTGGCGCCAGGGAAATGACCACAGCCACTGCTTCTTTTTCGGCCGGCTGGGAGGCGGCGCAAGCAAGAAGCAATGGCTGTGGTCAGTTTCCCGCCCCGCACTGTCGGATCCCCGACGCGGGCCGCATACCCGCGCGCGCGAGCAGGCCCTCCGGCGGCCTCCGCGCCTCGCGCGGTCCCAGTCATTGCTGTCCTCCGCGGCGGCCGCGAAGACCTCGCTCCACAGGGGCTCCCAACTTCGCGCCCTCGCGCTGCGCGAAGCGCGAAGCGCGAATAACTTCGCGCTCTCGCGCCGCCTCCCAGGGGAGAAGAGGAGGACGAGGAGGATTCGGAGCCGAAGCGCGAAGCGCGAATAACTTCGCGCATTCGAGGGCGCCCTTGGCTCCAAGCGGGGATGAGGCCCGAGCTCTGGGCCATCCGGGCCACCCTGGGAAGATGCTCGGCGCGGCATCGGACCTCGGCCTTCTGGGAGAAATCCCAGCATTCCAGGAGCTCGCGGCACAAGGCGGCGAGCGCCTTGAGATAGGCTTCGAGGGCGACCGGGATAGCCGCGTAGCAACCCTCGCCGCGCATCCCCTCGGCGGGGAGACGGAATCTGAGCAACATCACCTCGCTATACACCCACTTGACGTTAGTCGTTGGCTTAGACCTGTGCAGCTCTAACTATCCACGTTCTCCTGCGGCTCCCTTGAGCCGCATGGCGACGGACAACGCGTCCCACCATCCACCCGAAAAATGACAACTCCGGATTGTACTTCGCAAACACGTTTGTTTGTATCTCGTTGATGCATCCTGGGGTTACAGTGGTCCTCCCCCTCCTCCCCCTCCTCCTCCTCCTCCTCCTCCTCCTCCTCCTCCTTTTCCTTCCTCTTCCTCCTCCTCCTCCTGCTCCTCCTCCTCCTCCTGCTGCTGTTGCTCCTGCTGTTGCTCCTGCTGTTGCTCCTGCTGTTGCTCCTGCTGTTGCTCCTGCTGTTGCTCCTGCTGCTCCTGTTGCTCTTGCTGCTCCTGCTGCTCGGGCTGCTCGGGCTGCTGCTGCTGCTGCTGCTGCTCCTCCTCCTTCTTCCTCTTCCCTCCTCCTCCTCCCCTCCTCCTCCCTCCCCTCCTCCTCCTCCTCCCTCCTCGCCGTCCTCGTCCTCGTCCTCCTCCTCCTCCTCCTTCCTCCTTTTCCTCCTCCTTTTCCTCCTCCTGTTCCTCCTCCTGTTCCTCCTCCTCCTCCTCCTCCTCCTTTCCTTTTTTCCCCCTCCTCCTCCTCGCCCCCCCTCCTCGTCCCCCTCCTCCTCCTCCTCCTCCCTCCACCTCCTCCTCCTCCTCCCTCCTCCTCCTCCTCCCCCTCCTCCCCCCTCCTCCCCAGGCACCTCACGCCATGCGAGAGGGCCAGCCTCGCCCAGGTGGCTCCAGCGGAGACGGCGCCAAGGGGGCGCAGCGGATCGCCAGCTCCGGGCGCGTGCTCCGCGACCTGCCGCCCCTGGACGAGGCGGCGCGGCGCTCGCGCCGGAAGGGCGGCGTCGGCGGGCGCGCCCAGGGGGGGGGGGGGCATGCCTTCTCAGAAGGCGGCGGGGCCTTCTGAGCCCTCTGGGGAGGCCCCGCCCGCCTTCCCTCCCGGGCGCGCCGCCGAGCGGGAGCCGGAGCAGGGTAAAGCCTCAAAGGGTCCGATCGAACCGATACTACGCTGAGCCTCGTGCCCGAGCGGGGCGGCAGTAACGCGAGGATGCCGAGCTGGGCCACACCGTGCGGCACACTGGGACACATGACTTGTGCCTTGTGCGCTCCGCGGGGGCGGCTCGGGAGGGTTGGTCCCCGAGGACGGCGACAGCAACCACTGCAGTAGCAAGGCCTCGATGGCGCCCGCCGTCCCCGCGCCTCCAGCAACGACTGGATGTGCGAGGCGGGTACCTCCCCGGTCAGTAGCACTGTCGGGATGGAGCCAGGTGCGAAGATGGAGCCCCACGGGGCACCACGGCGCGTTCCGACGCCAGTCGTGGCCTTCGGCGGAGGACGCCGGGGATGGTGAGCGTTTATGTATTCTGGGTTTCGTCATTTGGCGCAAGGGGGGGAGGGGGGGGGGTCCGGCTCTCGTCCCGTAGTCAATACCTCCGATTGAATCATCTTGAAATTTTCAACATAGCTTAAAATTCAATATGTTAGCCTCATGAGGCGTGAAACTGGTAAACAAACTCATTCTAACAATTACAATACAACGCAAATATTTATGAAACTTATCGATAATTTAAAATGTATTATGATATATTGTGAAATGTCTTAGTCAATATATTTCTGACGTGTAGAATCAACACATTTCTGACGTAACATCACTTAATGTATTATGCTAGGAATAATTATACTAGGATTACTATGGATCACATATTCATGATTCCACAAGGCCGTCGGTGGCATAACAGGGGAGGGCCCAACCGGAGGCATGCTTTTTGGCGATCGGGTCCGGCGCCCCTGAGCCCTTTCGTTATGGTTCCAGAAGAATAGCAGGAAAAAGTTCGCACAGTTGCACACATCAACGATTCGAGTTTCTACGGGGGGGGGGGGGGGGCGCCGGCCCCCGTAGTTCGTCCGATCGACTGAAGCAGGTGCCAAAATCAGCCCATAACTTCTCTACGGGGGGGGGGGGGGGGGCGGGGGGTTCCGCCGAAAGCAAAAAATAATAATAAAAGAACGATCACATGAGAAGCCGCTTCCGCAGATGATTCGGACCTCGACGGCGCACAAGGAGATCCATGCACTGCGGGGGCAGTTCTGCTGCCGAGCCCATCGGCCACGCCACCAGCGCTCTCCATTACATGTCTGCGAAATGCTTTAGAAATCATGGGTTAAGAAATTCATAGTCTCAGAATTTGAAATCAAACCCAGAATGTCTATTCAAATGTTAGGATTTACATTGAAACATTAAGAATAATCAAGACTCTGGCCGAAAACTTGGGTTTTCTTAAGCATCGCCTGGAGTGTACATATGAGAATACAGAAACTCTGATTTCTCTAAAAAGGCGACTGCAATACGGTGGGCAAACAAATCAGAAGTCGGGGCATGGATCGTGCTTCCAATGAGGGCATACAGGAGATTGATGAGCGTCAAGCAGGGCTCTCCTGGCTGGAGGCTCGTTGTGGAGGGCAGCTTGACGGATTGAGAGGATATCCTGGATTTCCACGAAGGCTCAACAGTGCTCGGCCCTGATGCTGCTAAAGCAATCCCAAACCAGCCCTCCTCCCATTCTTCCTCCTCACTCACCCTTCGTGTGTGTGTGCGTGTGTGTGTGTGTGTGTGGATCGATGGGGCGGGGGCGGGGGAGAGGAAGGGAAGAGAGGGGCACAAGGGGAAGAGAGTCTTGAGGGAGGTCTGGCCTTATGCTGATCCAAGCTAGCTGCCAGAGGGTTGCGCAGCCAGTCGCCTGTTACTGACGTCACCCCTCTATCCTCCATACATCCATATCGGAGCCAATGGTAACTTCTCCTGATAACTTTTGGGATGCCAGGTGCTATGTATTACGGACATCCTCTGTGCACTGTTCTGCTGCTTGCCCTATCCTCTGCCGTTTACTGTCTGCGGCTGCGCCCATATCCAAATGGGGGGCGGACCCTTCTTTGTTAAGGTGTGGATAATTCTTCGCCCTTTCCCGGCGCTTCTGCTCGCGCAGCTCGAAGATAGCTGCGGGGGGGCACGGCGTACGGCATACATGCACATAGATACGCCAATTTCTATGAACATACAAGCGCATATAGACAACGTTGGGCACGGGTGCAATAAAAGGCCACGGAATGGAGTGGGAGTTACCGCTGCGGCGCCCCACTGGGGCACCGCAGACAACGACGCCCAGAAGCGGCTGATGGCGATACCGAAAGACACTACGGATAGTGGAGATGTTCGTGATGGTGGCGACGAATGATCATACGACGGAAGCGATGGCCATGGCAATGATGACGATAGTGGTGCCGTGCGTGTGAATGTGGGCGGATATGACTGACGACGGTGGTGATGGTGATGGGGATGATGGTGATGGTGATGGTGATCATGATCACGGTGATGATGGTGATACTGATGATAATGATGCTGGCGATGGGGAGTACATCTATGATGGTGATGGTGATGATGATGGTGATGAAAATGCGCAAACCTCCTGCACGCCGCGGTTTGGGTTAAACTAAACACAACCAGAGAAAGGATGCGGGGGGAGGACGGGCGCCGCTAGTAGCAGAGGGCAGCCAAGATCGCGTCGGCGCGCCTGACGACATCGAACGTGCACACGCGCTGTGCGACCGCCCGTCATTGTCTCGGTTGCTGGCTGGGGCTTGCGAATTTTCGCCTGGTGGCCGTCCGTCGTCGCCTCGCCGTCGCCTCGTGCGCTGGCTGACGTTCTTTGGTGGGCGCGTAGCTTGCACTACATAAGCTGCAACACATAAGTTGCTCTACATAGATGACACCTTTTTTGCGAAAAAATGGAAATCGCCGACCCCTTGGGGTGCGGTCGATATGTCACATGGTTGCCGCCCCAAACCCTTCACGGAGATCCCGGCCTGGCCGTTTTGGAGAGGGTCCCGCCCAACGGGCTCCCCCTGAAAAGCTCCAAGGCGCGTGCAAATCGCGCAAGCAAGCTTCATGACTGCGGACAAGTGTTTTGGTTCGGCCCAACATGCGCCCAAAAGGGTCCCATGCAACCCAGAAGTGGTCGAACATAACGTATCATCACGTGGCAACGTCACATGGTGCATCGTCGGCAATATCAGATAATACTATTGGATCGGACGGAAAGGGTGAGTAGAAGGATGCCAGTCCTTGTTCCTCTCAGATAGGACGAAAAAAGGCTGGGCGTCGGCGTAACGGGCGTGCACGCCTTTAGCCGCGACGGCAGAAGAGCACGCGACGCGTCCCCTGGGCGCCTCTCTCTCAACTCGGGGAGGGGGCAGACAACGCCGCGCTCTGCTGTTTTGTAGCAGCTCAGAAGCGCACACAGCAAATCAAAGTGGAGGCCTCGGCAATCCCTGGCGGCTCCAGGGCCTGTCGAAGCCAGAAGAGGCGTGAACCCGAACGGGCTCACTCCCCGAACGCCGGGCCGGCATTGGAGGCCAGCGGGCCCCGATGAGACCGAGCGCCTGGAGCGTCCTCCACCGACGTCTTCCGGTCTTCGACTTTAGTGAAGGGGCCCCAGGACACACAAATACATACACACACAAATAAAGGTATTCCCAATCTTTTCCTATACTTTCTGGGTTTCTGTCTTCCCCCCCACTTCCCATATTTTCCCATATTTTCTGGGGAATCGAGGATAAATTGTGTCTGTGTGCTTCTTTTCCTCCTGATTTAGCTTCACAGAAAAAGGAGGTGCGCATCAAGGCTCGTCTCCGAGCTCGCAAAGGGCGCCTGCGCAGGCGGGCGCGCGCGCTGATGAGGGCGACCAACAGACGCAAGATCGCTCGACAAAACAGACTGCTGCAAATACCTCACCCACTGCTTTACCTTGGGGTCGATCGACTTCTGTTCTGGATGGCCTCGGGCAAGGGCCGTGAAATTTGACGTCGCGCTCGAAGGGTTGATGCACCGACAATACTTCCGAAACGATGCGCCTGCCAATGCAACCCTCGGCATGCGCGTCGCCCGCACTTCCCGCGCGCCGCGCCATTGCGCGGCGCGCAGTGCCTGCGCGCGCGACTTCGCGCACCCCAACTAAATGTGGCCGAGGGGTGCGCGCTCGGTGGGAACATGGTCTTTATTGGAGAGTGATCTCGATGTAGTCTGCGCAAAAGTTGTTCAGGGCACCTGAGCTGGCGAGCCACCGAACTCTCGCGCTGTGCCTCGGGTGAAGTGGCCCAGCCTGCTGCTGCTCATGACATCCGATGGACGCAGGATGCGCCTCGCCCGGGTGGCGGGCGGCCGCCGGCGCTTCCGTCGCGCGACATCGCCGCGCCTGCAGACGCCGAGACCCGCGAGTGCCTCCGCGTAAGCGCGCCGAAGCTGGGCGGGCTTCCTCGCCAGAGCAAGCGTGCTCATCCTGAGCATTTTCTTAGGGTGGAGGGCTTAGGGTGAAATCCATATGGGCTTTTGCATCTCGAAAATCAATCCGTCTTGTGCAGATCCAAGCCTCGAAAATCGATCGAAACGGCATTTCAGATTTCACCATTTGCCCTCCACCCAAAGAAAATGATCGGTCATCGAATACCGTGGCCGTTGGTTTCGTCGCCCCCTCCCCCCGCCCACTCGGCGGCAACCCGCGCCGCCGCGGGCGCCCGCTTCGCCCGGGGCGCGCGCTCGAAGCATAGGTGGCCCCCTTCGGGCCGATGATGAGTTTCCTCGTTATCACGCGACGTACATGTCAGTTCTTCATAATAGGATTTTTCGAATATTGGATTTTAAAATGCACGGTTAATTTATGAAAAAATATGCATGAACTCATCGATGTTTTTAATACTAAATCCCTGCATTTTTAATACATGATCCGCACGCGGAGCATGTATAAAAAACGGCACTGTAGTGGCCCCCTTCGGGCCGAGGATGAGTTTCCTCGCTGTCACGCGACATATCTGAATTCGCGGGCCCTGGCGTCCCCCGGGAGAGGGGCGACCTGGGCCTGTCTTGATTCGATCGGGGGTCGGCCAACTCATTGATTTTTATCAGATCCTCATCCAAATTCGCGGGTTGGTTCGGGGATTTGAAGCACTGGATTGGACGAGAGTGGGTACTGCCCGAGTTAACGTGTAGGCCCGTGCCTTCGAATTCATTATCGTGGAACCCAGGATTATGCGGTTACCATCGTGTATCAGTGTACAACGAGAAGCATATTTAACTGTAAAGAAGGCAACAAGTGTCCGCATGGCCACGTTGTCCTTGCCGAGCTGGGAGCCTCCACATCGAGTGCGTTGGGCGTCTGGATATCGGACGACGATTTCTCTGGAGCCAGCAAGCTGTCCGCGGCTCGTGTCTGAGCACAGGAAGCGATCAAGTTCAACCACCACAGTCGTCCTGGCTCGCCGTAGGCCAGTCATAATCCACAACGTCCCCAGGCCTGTAGGGCCGTGCGCTGGCCTGGGCCGGGGCGTGCGTGCACGTGGGGAGCGGTTCCTCTTCGCAGCAGCTGTAACCTGCGCTGTGGCGTCCAGGCTGATCTCGCGAACGCGTCGTTCACCTCGTGCCACATGCCTCGGAAGCCTCAAGGGAAATCAGGTGTGTCCAAGTCGGGCAGCATGGCAGGTGGTCTGCCGGTGTTTATGCCTGATGTGGTGACGCCCCGTTGTGGAACGGGAAGACGTTGCACACGAATCTCGCCTCAGCGAGCCTCTTTTGAAGATCATGGGGATATTGTGGCGCTTCAGCTCTCTTCGAGCATGTGCGCAGTCGCTCGAAATATACAATTTCGTGCCTCAATGGTGGCAGCATGCTGTCCAGGCGCTCGGACTTTGAAGGTGGTTCCAAACTTCTTGAACTCATTGGTTGCTGTCTCGTTGTTCAATCCACCCTCAACGTCGGAGGAAAGTATACCGCAAAGCTCCTGAAGCATGTGCCCACTGTAATGCAAGTCCTCGCGGATGGAACGAGATCCCTTAAACATAAACCGACGGCTCTTGTTCTGGACGCAGGGGTGCCCGAAATCTGGCAACGCCCTGACAACATTGAAGAACGCATTTTCTGACAAGGTGTCCGAAGTATCGAACGCCACAATTTTAAACGGCGTGTCAATGTATTTGAAGGGGCCCACAAACACACAAACAAATACGCACAAATAAAAGGGTACCCCATCTTTGCCTATATTTTCTGGGCTTCTGTCTTCCCCCCCACTTCCCATAGTTGCCCATATTTTCTCGGGAATCGACGATTCATTGTGTCTGTGTGTGTTTTTCCCCCTCCTGAGTATTGTCCGTTGAGGCTTGGCGGCTGTCGTCCAGCGTGGGCCCCGGGGAGTGCGGGGGGGTGGTAGTCGTCGATGCCGACGGCAATGCGCATTTCGCAGAACATCGACTTCACAGTGTCCTTCGGGCTACTCCAGATTTCGTAGTAAAAGGGGGGGGGGTCTCATTTCGGGGGCGGGGTCTCTTCCAGGCTATCTTGGAGGGCCTGGGGGGGTCTGGGGACGATGTTTTGGAGGGTTCTCCCGCGAGGGGGGGTCTGAAATGGCTTGTCTTGGAGGGTCCAGACCCCCTCCCTTTTGTTACGAAATCTGGAGTACATTTTGACAGGGGATGGTGGCCGCGTCATTGCGCGACTACCTCTCGACCACCCGGCCTCTGCACACTCGACGTGGCCCTATTTGTGATGGATGACAGTTGTCGGTGCTACGGCAGTGTACTTCTCATGCAACAACTACCCGAATGTGTCTACCATGATGGGACGGGTACTTGGGTGCTTGCACTTTTCTGGAAACTTACTCCGACGGAAGGACCCCCGATGAGAATATTTGGAGCTTGGCCGGGGATCTCCACCTGCTCCCTCCTCTTACCCCTATGGTGCCTCCTCCTTCTCCTCCGGCCTGCTTCTCCTGCCACATTATCCTGCTGCTCCTCTTTTTACCTCCTCCTCCTCCTCCTCCTCCTCCTCCTGCTCCTCCTCCTCCTCCTCCTCCTCCTCCTCCTCCTCCTCCTCCTCCTCCTCCTCCCCATGCCACCTCCTCCTCCTCCTTCCCCTGCCTCCTGCCTCCAATGTCGCCTCCTTGGGCTGCTTCC